AAAAATTCGAAAAGTAGATTAAAAAATTAGTCTTGTACCTGCAATCCCTAGAGAAGAGCTGTAGCAACCTCCTTGCCCGGAGCGGTTCGTTATACAACAAGAGTTCCACTGTACCTAACCTTTAGAGCAAAGAACTGGTAAAAGGGAGAGAGAAATGTATCAAGTGCACTACCTACCCTAAAGGTATCAAACTCACTCATCTAGTCCCAAAACTCGGCCTTCAGTACGGTATTCCTACAGTATCAAAAATGACAAGTTGCCTCAACTCAAACTGAAATGGCTTACTTTACCTATTCTACCCTACAAGAACCTATTGACCATTTTTTATCCCACCCTACACAACTCTACCTTCCTTACCATACATTCTGCTACTCTGCCTTTTACCATCCCACCCAACCATTTTCTCCCCTACCCTTTTTTACCTTATAATATCCTACAACAGATGCAATCTTGATGTTCAAACACTACCAAAAAAACTACGCCACAAAACTATTAAAAGTAGCACAACGTAATCACGAATACATTAATGTCACAACACATATGGTATGTAATTGTAATAACAATTTTGACGAAAATCAAACTGCCTCCAAATTTAAATCGTTCTAGTCTTAAAAATGACCAAATTAAAATTATTATAGCCAAAAAACAATAGAACAAGCTAATAATTAACGATAAACTACAGATGTAGTAGTACAAAATCTGCAAAAAAGACAAAACAAAATTGTTAATATTGCACCTAGAGGTTCAAAAACAAACTCTACGATGGCTGTGATAATGCAAATGCAAAAGACTAAGCATGTCTAGCAGTCAGTAGGTCTACATTAACCTTCCCTGCCAAACCTTACTCTACCCTACCCTGCTCTACCCTACTTATCCTTATCTATCCTCCCGTACCCTAACCTACTATATTAAAAATATCTAGCGAGATTAAGTAAAAGTATTATAAAAACACCATAATTCAAACTGAAAACAGTGAAATGTCCTAACACAACACCACTATAGTACTTTCGATTGTTATTGCTCCACAACTCATTTATTTATGACATGTAAATTAGCTCTAAAAAGCGGTTTTGATTCTGAATATTATGGTTACACCATCAACAACCATAAACGTTGGCGTTTAACATACTTTTCAATTGAAAATGCGCAAACCTAATCGAAATTTTATAATTTTTGTTCTTTGAGTTAGTTGATGAAAAGAACAATTGATCTTGCCACCAATTTTCATAATTTGTAGTATTTTTAAAAAAAAAGTATGATTAAAACAAAATAGCGCATTAAATTTTCAAAAATTTAACGAAAAATTTAATTTTTTCAATTTCAACTTTTAAAACCAAACTTTGTAAATATATTATCATCATACAAACCCAAAAACAAAATTTCGTTCATAATATATCAACATTTCTCTTCCCCTCTCTCCTCTACCACAATATTTCTCACTACTACAACATGCTCTACCCACAAACCCTCAAAACTACACTTTGCCCAATTGAAAACATCGAAATTCGTAGCTGGTCGTAAATAATACAACTATAATAATATGAAGATGGGGCTAATTACGCTCATTGATTGGGGTTATTGAGGCCGTAGACGGTCATGTTATTCAGCCGTTTTCAGTGGGTTGATAACAATCGGCCGTTGATGAGCCCGCTTTCAAAGGCCGCAGAGTTTCAGTCGAAAAAAACGTGTATTTTAAGACCAATGTGTACATAAATAATGATCCTACGTGTGGATGTATAATATCATAATTGGTTTTGAGCAGAGAAAGTCAAAAAGTCGATGAAATTTGATTTTTTAGGTATGTTAATATAGGTAATGTAAAAAAATAAGATAAATTACGCAAAATAAACTAGAAGTAATGTACAACTTAAAAAATACAATCTAAAACGAAGTTTTAAAGCCCCAACACACTGTTTTTACCCAATGATAACATAGGCAACGTAAATACTCCGAAAATATTGATGAAAACAAAATTTAAAGACCAAGAAACTTATATTAACCATGGTAAAAACACACATTTTAAAGCAAAAACTTTCGCAAAATAATCAGAAAAGCATCATACAAAGATTTCATACCTAAAACTCCCCAAAAACTGCCAGAAATCGACCTAAAACGACGTAAATCACTGGTTCACCTCGATGAAAACCCAATGAAACCCAATGCCAAATCGTCTACAGACACATAAAACAATATTAATGTAATTTAAACTCGTTGTCTTAATGTTTTATAAAGTATAGTTGCCACTTCACTGCCTTTTAATCTCAACTTTGAACCTAAAAACCAACAAACAATAACAACATCCTTACCTGAACTCCTTTCTCCTCGATTATTGGCTTCAATAAAAACGATTTGACATGTTTCCAGTTGATTAGAACAAGCATATCAGTTGAAACACAAGATATTGACCAGATAACACGCTGAAACAGTAGTTTTGTAGGTTTTTTAGTTGATTTCTATATTTTTTATAAAAACCGATAGGTTTGTGACACTTCGTTAAATTTCCCAATAGTCCTGTGGCTTTTCGTGTATTTTTTTACAATCGGTTTTGGCGGCTTTCTCGTGCCTGAAAGTATCAAAGCCTAACCATGAGAAACGGGCCGGGCTGAATGTTAGGCCCGACCGGAATTTTGCTCAAGGCCGGCCCGGCCCGATCGGAATTTTGCTCAGGGCCAGCCCGGCCCGTTCCTCATGTCTATCAATGCCAAACTACAGCATGCTGTGAGACATCTTCAAATTAATTCGTAAGTTGTTAGTCGTCTTTGTTGAAGTTAAATCATGAATAATATCGGTGTTCTTAAGTTTGGCCAAGACATTTTGACTAGATAAACATATTGTTGTAGATGCTGATGAGTTGCTTGTTGTTTTTACTGTTATTCTTTGCTTTCTTTACCTAATTTTAGTTTGAAAGTTGGATTAATTAGTTTCAAACTTTGATCCGGTAACCTTTTAGTATCTCGTCACTATTTTTTTTTATTTTTAGATATGAACTTGCTGTTAGAAATCATTAAATTCGCTTAAAAAAGGTTGAGAGTAGTGTTGTTATAGTAATATAATAAAGGCTGGGCGGTCAAGTTAAAGTTATTAGCATGAAAATCTGATTTTATATTGTTATAGGCTAGACGAATGTTATTATTTGTTTTTAATGTCTAGGTATTAAATAAAGGACGGAATTGAATGAAATCTGTTTTGAAAGTTTGAAATGGTTATGCTTAACGCTTTACGATAAGTTTTTTAGGTTCAACGTGGGTAGTCTTTGTACGAGGATGAAAATTTGATGTTAACATAACCCATGCAAAATATATTGTTTATGACTAACATCTTTTTGGTCTTTTATATCCTTCTGTTGGTTTACAATGTAAGTTACTGTATGTTCTTTTTTTATATATTGTGTTATGTTTTTGTCACATTCTCATTCTGGATATGGTAGCGTAATCATATAATACCTTAGCTTATGTTTTCAATGCTGTAACACTTTGATTTTATAGTAAACACTATTTCCAAAACGTCGTATGTTTTAAAATCAGCACTGAAAGATACGAAACAACACCGTTCTACGTGTTTATTTATAAACACCGTGCTTGTTTTCACGTGTGATAAAACAATATTTTGTTTGCGAAATGTGCGAAACAACATTCGGTGCGATTTCGACATGATATTTGCAAGAAATTATGTGTTTTACAATGGCTACGTTGCAGGGAGTGTCTGTAAAATCGACTTGGGAATGAAATTTTAGGCTTAAAGATGAACTTTTAGGTTAAGAAATGAAATTTTAGGCTTAAAAATGAAACATTAGGCTTAAAAATAGTTTTTAAGCATATTGATGAAATTTTAGGCGTAAAAAATGTAATTTATGTTTAATATCTCTAAAAGACTATCTTTAAATCTAAAATATATTCCTTACCCAGACACTTGGATGCCTTGCCTCATTTAACCCTAACTCTCCTCCCCCCCCCTTTCACTGCGAGCCCAAGTTTAAAAGAGTCTTCCTTGCGTTTCGAAACGTCATGAGTTTTTTCGAAAACATTTCCCAACAGCTCATTTTTGTATTGAGAAATGCTTGGGGGCAAATCGGCCGTTGTGAAACCGGACGTTGTATATAACAGACAGACGGAATATTTTAAAACGTTCTTTTGTAAGTCCTAAAATACTTTGGTGGTTGGGAAAGCGTTGGTATATATAGAGGATGTGAGGTTGTGAGAAGATATTTTTAGGCTGGGTAGGGATTTTATATTGCTTTAGGTTAGGGAGGAGATATTTTTAGTCTGGGTGGGGAGTTGATATTGTTCTAGGTTAGTGAGGAGGTAATTTTGTTTTCAGGCGGTTTTGGTTTTGTTTTAAGCTGTTTTCTTTTATTTTTAGGGCAGGAATGGCCTAAATTCTTGACCTAAAAATAAAAGATAACATGCTTGATGTTACGTTAGGGTAAGGCATACTAACTATCATTTTAAGGCTAGGGAGAAAATTTAATATTATTGTAGTTTAAATCTATTCATTCAGGCAACGATAGTGTAGAATAATGAAAGGTAGGGAAAAATGGAGTAGGTTATGTTAGGGTAGGTTAATTTTTATTTTTTGGTTAGGGGTGGATATGATATTATTTTATGTTTAGATGGGTTAACTTTTATTTTCAGGCTAGTTCTGAATTTGATGTTACTTTAAGTTGAGACAGGTTAACTTTTATTTTCAGGCTCGGGATGGTTTTTATATTGTTTTAGGTTAGAGAAGGCAAAATTTTAATTTTAAGCTAGGGCTGATGTGGATTTTGTTCTAGGCTGGGTTATCTTTTATAATATTTGCAGGCTAGGAATGGATTCGATATTATTTAAGGTTACGCTTTAGTAGGTAGGGTAGGGTAAAGTAGGGTACGGTAGGGTAGAGTAGGGTATGGTAGGGTACGGTACGATAAGATAATATTGTACAATGTAATATTTTGTCACATTTTGTCATTTCCAAGCCTCTATCACAACCTTTTTATTAAACCTTGTCAATCTTTTAGCAAAATGATCTACCCAAGTAAAACCGCCGATAACAACAAGGCATTGAGTCCCAGTTATGTATCGACTGAACGTCTGGACAACTTTGTTCACGTTCTTCAACATGCCTCAAAGTGCAAGTCGACTAGTTGTCGTGGCAGTTGTATGAGAATGAAGTTGGTCATGGAGCACTTTGTCACATGCCAACAATGCGAGGTTTGCCGGAAATTCTTTTCCGCCGTTTTTTATCATTCAAGTCATTGCGGCAAGAAGGATTGTAAGGTGAGTTAAAGGTTTCTATTATTGTACTTGCTTTTTTAGTCTTGGATGATTGTATTGAGGTTGAATTTTCTTTTTTATGCTTAAAAGTTTGTTTTAAAGCTTCGGTTAAATTTTTAAGCCTAAAAGTTTAGTTACAAATTTAAAATTGCATTTTTAAGTTACAGATTTCATTTTTAAGGCTGATATTCGTTTTTAAGCTTAAAGTTCATTTTTAAGTCTAAAAGCCATTTTTAAGCCTAAAATTTATTTTTAAGGCTAAAGCTTAATTTTAACGCTTAAAAGTTTATATTTAATCCTAAAGTTTCGTTTTTAAGCCTAAAACTGCATTTTTACGCTTCAAATTTTATTTTTAAGCCAGTGCTTATATTTGCATGCCTAAATGTTTTTTTTGAAGTTTAAGATGTCACTGATAAGCCTAAAATTTTAATTTGAAGTCAGAGCTTGTATTTTTTAGTCTAAAATTTTAGTTTTAATAAATCAAATGAAAATAATTTTTGGAAATAAAAATTCTTAAAAAATTAATCGAAAACATTGGAAAACCCGCAAAAAAATTTCATTCAAAAAAATTCAATAAACGGTTCCTTTACGCTTAAAATATCATCAATAAGCTTAAAAGTTTAGCTTTATATCTAAAAATTTTTATTTTTAAGCTAAAACTTATTATTTTTAAGTCTAAAGTTTCATGTTTAACAATAAGCCTAAATTTTTTTAAAGGCAAAATCTTATTTTCAAATTGAAATTTTCATTCTTAAGCCCAAAATTCATTTTAAAACGTAGTGTATGAATACAGACTACTTAAAAATCTATTTTTGTCACCATTCTAGACCTTGTACTGCAATCAAACCAAGCAGAAGATCAATCAAGTTTTGAGTCATTGAATTGCCACACCTTATTGTATCCTGCCTACCTTTCAACATATTTGAACTCATCAGTTGTTAACGGGTATTTTTGTTTTAAAGGTTGTGTATCTTTTATGTCGTAATTTTTAAATTTGTCTTTTTGTAATAAACAATAATTTTTAAATTTTTATTTTTAATTTTTAAAAAAATTTTTGAAATTTTTATTTTTCAAAAAAAAATTTTTTTTTAAATATTTAAAATTTATTTTTGTAAATACAGTAACCCAATAATATAAAAGGTTATAAAACAAAATGCCATGCAAAAGTGTGATTGTAGATATATACATGAGTAATATAGTATCGGGTATCAATAGTTATTTACCAGACCATAGGATACCCGGAGGGTATCTGTTGGTCTCGTAGTTATTTGAACATAGATGACGATGCTGATGAGTATCCGGATGTCGTGCTAGAATTCGAAGTATTATACTCGGTTTTGTCATCTGAAGCTTGTAGATCAGCCAAGGATTCATTCACAATGAGTCGCACTCGTTCATACATAAACTTCCGCATCGCTCGTTGCCATCGGCGGATCTCACGGCAGGGTGGGACCTGAAAGATTTTTAAGTTAAGAAATAGCAAAGGTAGTCGCACATTTCAAATTCTTATAGGAGGGTAAAGGTAAATCCAGGCTATGGTGGATGAGTACGTAAGGAGTACAGTAAGAACGAGAGTAGGTACAATGAGGTTGAATCAAAAGTAGCGGGACACTTTTCAGTTGAAAAATAAATGGAATGTTCCGCTACTTTTGGTTCAGCCTAATAGTTGGGCAAAAGTAAAGTAAAAGTAAAGAAACGATGAGGTAAGCCTTTTATAAAGCAACGTTTTCATTTTGTATCAACAAGGGCTTGTAGCTCATCTTCGTCGAGACACGGCAAAGAGTAGGTTAAAATAGAAGCTAAGTAAAGGATGGTACGGTACGAAAAGTAACGGTAAGACCAGTGTATGGTTGTCATAAAAGATTGGTAAAGTAAGGTAAGACAACATATGATAAGACAGAGTAGAATAAGGCAGGGTGGGGTAAGGCAAGGCAGGGTACGGTATAATTAGGCATGATAGGGTCGGGTAGGATAGGGTAGGGTAGAGTAATGTAGGGTAGGGTACGGTAGGGTGGGGTAAGGCAGCGTAGAATGTTCCAATGGTCGAAAAACAGTTTTTGTAAAATACCGTTTTCATTTCGACTTGTTTAAACAAAAAACTAACTATTAACAGTTAAACTCCCTACTTCGCACGTCCTACTTTTGCATGTCAAAGCGTGCTGATTAAAAGCCTGTACCACTTGCTCACATTTGTCACAACTGTGAGGAGATTCTATACAATGGCCCAGGTGACTTATCAATTCTTTACTGATACCACAGTTAGCGTCGGGACAATCTGATGTTGAACATTGAGCTGAATGTGAAATTCCTTCTACCATTAATTTATTGCCAAACTCCTTTAATGCTGCCAAAGAGGTGGGTTGAAGTTGGGGTTGGAAGCATGATAACATATTGAGATCCATTCTGAAAAAGTGGTGTTATTATTGATTAGAGATCAATAATAATATTATATTGTTAAGTATGATAACCAAAACGCGCGTAATGTTAGCTTAGAACCTAAGCCCTAGCCCAGAGCCCTAGCCCTATTTCTAACCATAATACTTAGCCCTAACTCTGAATCTAGCTCTAGCACTATGCTTAGCCGTAGTCCTAGCCTAGAGCCGTAGATTAGAGCCGTTACCCTTAGCCGTAACTCTACCTCTAGATTTAGTATAGTTGTACTATAACCCTAACCCAGTCTTAGTCCTAGCCTGAACTATGGCTTTATTGAAGCTGTACCACAGCTCTAACCTAACCAGAGAGACCCTGGTTAACAAAAGTAGTACTAAGTATAATGCAGTAAGGTAAACTACAGTACTTGCTACAAAAAATAATTTTTTGTCGTATTGTGTACTTACTGTTATATATCTACTTTTGTATATTTACTATATTGTAATTACTTTTTTGTGTGGTATTTTAATTCTGTACTCCTATTTTACCAAGTGTTCTTATCTACCTATCCCTATATAAATTATAGTTATTATCACCTTATACCCCCCCCCTCCCCGCGTTTTTCCATGACACGGAAATTACGAAGAATTCATCACGAATAAAAACATGTCGTGCAAGAAGAGTTCACAAATTACCAAAACTTAATTTCGTTGAACCCGCCGCCTCAAGACAATGCAAAAAAAGAGAAAAAAATGATAACTTGACAGCGGTCCAAAATGCTCTTTTTTTGTTTTCAAACAAATCAACGTTCTTTCCGAGTTTTTATGGATTAAAATAGCTTTAGTTTTTTTGTAGTTGGCGAAACATGTTGACAACAAAAAAAATGAAATAAAATGGAATTTATAATTAGCACACTGTTTGTTATGGGGTAAGGCCTCACAAATAGAACTGTAAAGGAGCCGGGGAAACCTCAATTTTTTTTTCAGTCCAGGCAACAGGCTGGGCTTTGGTATGGAGCCTGGCAGGGCAAAAAAAATTAAAAAAAGCGTAAACACACAAATTAGGCTTGAAAATACAAAGTTGAGTTAAAAATAAGATTTTAAATTTAAAAAAAATTTTGGAATTATAAGTTATTTTTAGGCTTAAAAATGAATTTTAGGCTTAAAAATGAATTTTAGGCTTAAAAATGAATTTTAGGCTTAAAAATTAACTTCAGGCTCAAAAATAAATTTTAGGCTTAATAATTCAGATTAAGGTCTAAAAAAGAATTTGAGGCTTAAAAATTGATTTAAAGATAAAAATGAAGTTTACACCTAACAATCCAGATTAAAGCTTAAATATAATTTTTTACGTTTCAAAGCCCACTTTTAAGCCTAAAACGTTTTCTTTAAAAAAATCGCTTTCAAAACACTATCAGCAATTAAAAAACAAGCCTGTTCTAACCAAAACCCCCACCCATTGAGCTCACAACACCCATGAAACGTTAATGTTTTTGCCATGTTTTTGCCCACAAACCCACTAAAAATGCAATGACATTAAGAATAATTCAAAAACTCAAGACATTCGAGAGTGTGTGTGCCGTCAAGTCCCTAAAAAAAGTGGGGGGTCAGCCACAAAAACTGCGAAGACGCATAAAAAGCGGCATGGGTGGTCTTCCCGAAGCCCTCAGGGTGGTTGACTAAAAAAACGCATAAAACCGCGATTAAAAACGAAAGGAATCATGCTTGAAATGGTCGGGAAAAAAAACTCGAGGAAAAAAAGATACCACACAAGCGAGGCGCGTCTATGGAAACCGTTCACATTGAACCGCCGTTCCTTTTTTATTTTTCCAAAGTTTTTTCTCGCTGCAAGGGAAACGCTTGAAGGTGTGAAAGGTAGAGAAGAGCAACGGAACAATAGAGATTAGAGCGTTTTGTAGGTGTAATGTACAAATGTATGGGAAGGTGGAGTTAGTTTATAAAAGAAAGTAAAGTAGGGAATAGAATAAGGTAGGGGGGTTAAAGAAATTAGGAGGTAAAATAAGTCAAAGAGTAGAAGTACGGTAGTGAACAGGATAAATGTCAAGTACAAAAAAAGGGAGGGGGAAAATTATTTAAAAATTAAAAAGTGAGACATAGGACGGGGTTGGGCTAAAATGTAAGCAGGGCTTGTATTAAAGTTCGGATACGGTAAGGTAGAAGGTTAGGGATAAAAAAGGTAAGCAGTATGGTAAAGTTAGGGTAGAATAGTAGAGTAGAGCAGGGTAGGGTAAGGTAGGGTAGTAAAACCGTTTTTTCACTACAGCCGTTTTATAAATCATCGTTTTTTACATAGAACGTAGTGTGTAACGATCAAACGTTAGCCATAACTGTCAATTCTTGTTAAAGTTGTAAAAATGACGAGTCTATTAAAGTTCAACTTGACAAATCAAAAAGCGCGGTTGATTAAAATGGGAAACGAAAAATAACAGTCGTTAATCATCATTATCACATGTTTTTGTCGAAAAGCATGTGTGGTAACAGCAATTTCGAGTTTTGCAGAGTTGTGAGGTCTTAAAAGTTGGGATAGAGAAGAAGGAGAGGGGGGGGGGATCAGTTACAGTAGTTTCGATCGCTTTTGGAGTTTTAAATTGAAAATTTTTTTAATTTTTAAAAGTTATGGTTTAAAAAAATGATTGATGAATTTTGTCTACAAAAAGTGCATCAATTTGTATTTGTCATTTAGGTTTAAAGAAGACTAGTTAATCGCATTAAATTGAGCTTTAGTTAAGCCTACTCTTGATGTGGTCGTCTTCCTAAAAATATGTAATATAATACAGTAAACTACAATGATAGCAAATCACAAAGGGATTAAAAATCACTGCCCTGCCCTATCCTGCCTTGCGCTGCTCTCTTCTAGCCGTAATATCGCTCTATTCTAGCTTAACATAACCCCTTACTAAATAAAAATTAAAAACTTTTTAAATCAAAAAAATTTTTTTAATAAAAAGATCATAACATTATGCACAAAATCAAAAAATTTTTAATTTTAAATCCCAAAAATTTTGAAATATGAACAAAAATTATAGTGAATGTTATTGTTGTCAAAGCGCAACTTGATACAAAACAAGTGGGTGGTCCGAGCGCCAAGTTCAATTGGTTCGGACCTCCCAAGGGGATTCCACGCTCCGGCTGGTTAATATATATAAAGTTGGCTTATAAGGAATCGAAAACAAGGCGACAATTTTGTAGTGTAATTAAACACGTGTACACGTGTGTTTTTTAACGTGAAATGACATTTTGCAAGAAAATTTGGAAAAAAGATGGTTTTGATAGACTCTGGTGATAAAGGTAAAAACAATACTGAAGGTTCAGGTAATAATAAAAATATCATCAGTACAAAGACAGAAAACAATTAAAAAAAAACTAATTTTTAACTTTTTTTGGAAATTTAGACCAAATATCCCCTTTTTTTTATAAAAAATTAACGAGAAAAGTACCCGACCTGCCCCGCTCTGTTTGACTTCAAACTTTATATATAGAAAGATCATGCAAATATAAGATGTTCAGCAAAGTACTAAATCGCGCTTTCCAGGAATTCTCCAGGAAATCGAGACCAAAAAATTATGTTTTGAATTTCCTTTCCATTTGGCATTGCGTTTCAAGCTTATAACTTCTCCATTTTTTGACTTTTAAGATTTTTTCTTCGATATACTAGTAGGATACTTTCTAATGAACCTACCTTTTTAAATTCGTAAGCGTATCTTGTCTGGAAAGCCGAAAAAAGTGCTTGAACAAAGCCAAAGTTGCCAAATTGGCGGAAAACCAAAATAATTTAACTTTAAAACTCGAAAGCGCGAACTAAAATCTTTTACGCGTACTATTGGTAGTACAAGGAATTCATATAAAACTTGCTACTTCTGAGTGGGGAAGGTTAGGGATTTTTCTTGTAAAATAAGTATGATGAATCGTAACTATAAAAAGTCTACTAGTGAAAAAAAGAAGTATGTAAATAATAGTTGAAAAGATCAATTCAAATTATAAAAAAATGCTTAAAGAAAAAAAGAGCAAGAAAGAAAAGGTTATTATTAAAATTATCAAATGAGGTCACATGAAAAGAAAATGGAAAATCATATTGATCTTTCAAAAAAACTCAGTTTTTCATAAATTATTGTTCCACTTACCCTTGGCTTTCTACACTCTGTCTTTTACTTCTTACCCGCTAATATTTAACTCCTTCTCTCCACCTCTACTCTCTACCACCTCCTCTTCAACCCCTTCCTTCTATTCGCTAAATTCTACCCTAAGCCCTCTATCTTCTACCTCCTACCCGTTACCCTCCTATTCTCTACAACTCCCTTCTACTCTTTGGCTATTCCCTCTACACCTTACTCTCAATCTCTTCCCCCGTCGTTTTAAAACTCAATTTCTAGCCAGCTCCTTCTTTTACAATCTTTTCCTTCTATAAATATAAACTTTTTTTTTAAATTGAACCCTCAAAACATGAAAAAATGAAGACGTAAAAATTGTTGACAAAACGTGTTTGTTCAACTACTTTCGACGCACTGAGTACGATCAGCTGCCTTTCGCCCTGAAGGCAAAACATTCAGTGTGGTCCCCGAATGATGAATTTAACCCAATTTTTCACCCACAAACAATTTTTGAATTGTTTTCGCATAATCGCCGTGCCACACAGACATTGTTATCATGAACCGACGTTTTCGTAATTATAGTACAAGTATTTCAGTATCTTATGTACTGAAAAAATTACTAGGGTAGAGTTATGGTACGACTAGATTAAGGCTAAGGTGAGTTAAAGACAGAGCTACAGTGAAACAACAGTATTGTTAGATCTAACTTAAGTGTAAGGCAGCTTCACGCAAACAATTTTCTTTATATAGTATAATGCCAACCATAGCATTGTTACCATTAAACTTAAGTAACAAAGTTTTTATTACCCATACTATTAACAATACTCAAGAGACTGAAGATCATTATTGTGTCCCTACAATAACCGTGATTACATACCTATTTTAGTGACATTTACAACAAAAGTAAAGGTTAATAACGACCGTAGCTGTCGTATTGAACCCAACCTTTGATAATTACACGTTAGTAACTATGTTATTAGATTTTATATTGTTATAGTTCCTGTTCACATGAACCTGTAAACAAAAAACGTAAAGGAGAATGTTAAAAAGTACAGTATTCCAATTCTACCCTACTTTATCCTATCTTCTATTTATAGTATACACTTTTTGTATAGCCTCGCCCTATCTTACTTTAAATCCTGTCATTCTCTACCTAACTCTTTTAAAACGTTTTTACTTGAACCCCCCCTTCCTCCCCTCTCCCTTCAAGCGAAGTTCGAGCCAACCTGCCTCATCTTCTAAAATACCGAAAAATCAATTTTACAGTAATCCTTAAATTATTAACCATTTTTTAAAATTTTTGTTTGAGAACCCTTTATTACTCTGTCCCTCCCCAAGCTTAAGAAACTGCGGCCAAAAACTACAAATGAACCAGCCCATTACAAAAGGCCTTTTTTGAATAATTCCGCCGGCCCCACAACAATTAATTTTGCAATGCTTAAAGACGTTTCTATAGCGATGCAGGATCATCTGGCAGTAAAACGAGGCCTTCAAAGAAGAACACACAAGATTGTTTACTATTCAAATAACGTGTGTCTGTACACGTCTTTGTTATAATGAAGTTACAATTGGTTTGTGAGGTCTTATAGGGTAAAAAGATTAAGAGAGACAGTTGATGTAATACTAGGAAGTAGAAACATATCAAATTAAAAAAATTAGCTTTAGCCTTTGCCTTAGCCTTAGCCTTAGCCTTAGCCTTAGCCTCAACCACTAAGCCTTAAAATTTTTTTATCTCTACTTGACTAGCATTTCTCTACGCTAGCAGTACTTCAATATGCCGCTACCGTTACAGTAAGAAGTAATAAACTAAAAAATTTATCTACCGTAGCTTTTAACAAAAATAATTTTAGTACTTTACCGTACCTACTAGTATTATTAAAACATAAAATTTTAAATACTTATTTTCTGCTTTTCAACCCAAAACATATAGAAAGAAATAACCGTAACTTAAAAAATGGAAAGTAATTTTTTATAGCCTCGAAAAGCAGTGAAACAAAAGGCCTAAAAAAGACGAAATGATAAATTGAGTTCGAAAGCATTTGGACATTGCGACAGTTGACTGAATGAGTGATGAACTGCGAGGGTAGTCGAAATTTTTGAAATCTTTTTTGTAAAAATTTAAAAATAAAAAATTCCGCTAGAACTTTCAGATTTATATAAAAATTTGAGCCTGGGGTTAAACCAGTCTAAACTTAAGCTTGAGCAAGAGATTGGACTTGAGCTTGTACTCGCTTAAGCTTGAGCTTGGCCTGTGCCTGAGCCTGAACCTGAGCTTAAAATTAAACCTCAGGTTGAGATTACGCCTGAGCAGTGCAAGCTAAGGTCCAGAGTCAGACTTATGGCCTGGCCCTGGACTTTAGCTTGCACTTGAGGTTAAGCCTAAGCTTGAGCATGAGCACGAGCAAGAGCCTGGGCATGAAATTGAGACTGAGCTTGCTTTAATCCTAGCTTTGTTAATATTCAAATTTTTCAAAAACAAATGTATTTTCAAAATAATTTTTTATTATATAAACTGTAAAACTCATACTCAAAACCTCCAAACACCTAATCACCTACCGTAATAACCACACGCTTGTGCCCTTTCAAAAATTAAATCATTTGGTCGGTTTCCAACTTAAAGTACGTGTATTTTGACATCGGCAGACCACCCAACGCGCGCTAATTTTTGTGTTTTTCAATGTGAAAAGAAGCCACACACGCTTCGAACTCGCTCTCTCTTCACTGTCTCTCTTTCACCGGCCCTTCCCTTGCGGGCATGGGTTTTTCAGCACGTTCAAAATTAACGACAAACGGGTTCAATATTGCATTGTTATATATCGTTATAAGTGCAAAATGACATATTTTGTGTCGTGACGTCGTACTTGGAACACGTGAATGAGTTAGTTTTTCAGCTTTTGGTTTATCCTTATCTTAAGCCTATATTTAAGATAGAGCCAAACCTTGAGCCTGCGTCTAAACCTTATCTTGAGCCTGAAAGTACGCCTGAGCCTAAGCTTGAGAGTCTGGACTTTAAGTTGAGCCTGAGCCTGGGTCTGAGCCTGAGCCTGAGCCTGAGCTTGATCCTAAGCTTGAGCCTGTGTCTGTGCCTGAGCCTGTTTCTGAACCTAAGTCTAGGCCCACGCAGTGCTTGAGCCAGAGCCAGCCGGACCCTCGACATTTGCTTTATATCAGCGCTAGCTTTGGCACTAGAAAGCTTTAGTGTTTTCTTCATCAGATCTCCAGCCTTGTTATCACTCAACACTAATTTTTTTTAGTATTTTTTTTTCAAATTTTGTTACGTGTTCAAAATTTTTATTTAATTTGTCACGTAACAGCAAAATCATTTTAAAAAAATAATTTTGAAAAAAACCATAGGTAATTTAATTTAGCTTCAGAAAATAAAAAAAATAATATTTAATCATACGGTGGTAAAAGAAAAAAAACAAAATTGTGGTCTTTGCAAAACTACAGTTCAAACGGAGCAATAATGATAAACTAATACTACTTCCTTGTTTACTAAAGTTGGTCAAAAAGATAAATTATGTTTTTTTACATTTTAAAAAAATGCGTTTTCTTGGTAATGATATTGTGACAACATATTGAAGTACGTATTTGTTTTTCGTCATATCAGTAAGCGACCTAAAAGTAATAAAAATCGTTAAAAATTGCTAACCAATCCCCCCCCTCCTTCTTCTTATAATAAAAAAATTCTAGACAAGCTAAAGTAAAGGCGAGGGCTTTGGACTAGAGCTCTGGGCTAGGGCTTTGGGCTAGAGCTCTAGGCCAGGGACTCCAGCTAGTGTTTTGGGTTAGGGCTCTGGGCTAGGGCTCTGGGCTGGGGCTCTGGGCTAGAGTTCTGGGCTAGGGCTCTGGTTGCCTGCCTACCAGCCTAAAAGACCATCCAGACCAACATTACTACACACACTGGACACCGTCACAACTTTTCTGAAAAACTACCACACACTGCATAAAAAGATTAATCAATTTCATCAGCAAAAAGTAAGAAGCGAGTATAAAAAAGCTTGTAAAAACTAACCACACACGACAAAATGAACCCAAAAAAACTTTTACAATACCTGCACACATGATTAGTGGAAACAAACGTCTACTCACGTTAACAATAACGTTAGTTAACAACAGAGTTGAGTAATTCAAGGTAAAGCGTTTAAAAAAGAATAGGTTTTTTGTAAAACAAGGTTTTTTATAAAAAACTTTAAAAAATTGAAATTTTAATTTAAGAATGCAAACTGACAAATAATTTTAAAATTAAGCACTAAATTCCTTAGTTAAGCTTAAGTTTCATCTTTAACTCTGAATTTTATTTTTGAAGGAAAATTTTCTCAAGGTTTCCCTTACAAGAATAGTAACTTATAAAAACATTTAGCTTGAGGTTTTGAGTTTTAAATTTGGATTCTTTCGGTTTCCCGCTAATTTGGCAAACTTGGCATTGTGTTTCAAGCACTTTTTTGACTTTCCAGACTAGCTACGCTTACAAATTTAAAAAGTAGGTTCATTTAAAGGTCTTTTACTAGAATATTAAAGAAAAATGCTTCAAAGTCAAGAAAATGACAATGTTGTAAGCTTGAAACACAATGCCAATAGGCGGAAAATTTAAAACGTAATTTTTTGGTTTTCATTTTCTCGAGGTTTTCTGAAAAGCGCGCTTTATAATCGTAATTTGCTGAAGATCGTGTACATATTTACATGATCTTTCTGTATAAAAGTTTGAAGGCAATCAGAGCTGAGTAGGTCAAGGCACTTTTTTTTAAAATTTAATTTTAACTCCAAATTTCATTTTTAAGCCTAAAATTTATTTTGAATGTTTGATTTCATTTTTTAATTTTAGATTTAATTTTCAAGCCTACAATTCATTTTTAACTCGGAATTTTATTTTTAAGTCTAATTTAGCCCTAACAGTCTTATACTAGTATTAATCCAATAATCCGAAAATGACATTTTTTAAAATTATTTATTTTGTTAAAAATATATAGTTTTACATACAGCGTTTTAACCATATTGAGAGCAATGTTTATATTACATATTATGGTCAACTTTTAAAATTAATTACTATATTATTATGACTGAGCCTTAAAAAAGCCAGTGATCAAGCTTTGGCCGGGCTTGGCCTTCTTCGTCGGCCTTTTACATTCATTTTCATGTGGAGATGCTCTCCTTTTGATTGGTCTAGTCTTGGGTGTTTCTGGCGGCGATCTACTTTTGGCCTTTCTTGGTGCTGCTAATACTGGGCCGTTCGGGGTACGTAGTACCATTCTATTCAACGGTGTTGTCGGTACTGTACTAATTGGTGTAGTACAATCTACCATCTTTGTTGATGACGTACATACTGTAACACTTGGGGTACTAGGTACCATTCTATGCTGAGGCACCAGTATATGTCTTACTGGAGCACTTGGCGTCGTTACTACTGTAGAGTGGCCTGCTGGTGTGTGTGATGCAGCTGGTAATGTAGGATATACAGTATGCCTTGGTGTGAGCGGAGCAAGTACAGTTGATCTCGGTGGAGGTACTGGTGGAGCCGCTGCCCCTACGATGGCTAGGCCAAACTGTACCATTTTAGAATCTATTTCTGATTCTGAAACAGCATTTGGTACTGGTACCTCACATGAAGCGGGATGGGGCACCGGGCTTATCTTGGCGGTGGGATAAGCCACCGGTACCATTTCAGTGGTTGAAAAAGGTACCGGTACCATTCTCGGGTAAGGTACTGGTACCATTTGCGGCACAGGGGTGTGCTGTGATACCGGTGGTACCGCTGCTGCTAGCATTTGGCGGACTGGCGTCATTGGAGCCATTTGTTGATAAGGCCGCACCGGGGTGTTGGGTACTGTTTGGTCGACTGGTACACCTTGGTACCGTGCTGGGGAAGGTGTATGGCCGTATGTTGGCCAAGAAGCGTAGGACGCTTGGCATTGTTGAACTGAAGATACAATGCTTTGTTAAACTTTTAACTATTTGTTATTATAAAAGTTATGTTGTTTGTTACAGTAATTCTATGATCAATAGGTTGCAGTAAGTTTTGTTAAAAGATATTGTAGTTTTTGTTTAACTATGGTATTACAAATATAATGTTATGTTAATGTGTGTCAAAACTTACCTTCTTTTTCTTTTTCAGCTTTCTGAAGCTGATAGGTGAGATTATATTTAACCTCAGTTAGCATGAAGCCTGTATCTTCTTCACAGGCTTCAATTTTCATCATCAAATTGCTAAAAGCAATTCTTTCCATAGCTTTGCTGGCGGCTTGTTTCAAACGCTGAAAAAGATAATATTACTATTTTATATTACCATTACAGTACAAAATTATTTTAGTTTTTTTTATTTTGTTTAGATGGGTTTTGAAGCAACAGTGTTAGATATGAGTTGTTTTTTTACAAATTTTAATTGGAGTTTACAAGTTCAATTTAAATTTATTGCGTGTTTTTTAAAGCATATAAAGATGTATATTTTGTGAAGCTTTTTCAAACTATATACGTTTATTATACGTTTTGTTACCAAATTATCATTAAATTAGATATTGTTCTAGACTTAAAACATGAAAAGATGGTACAGGAGACTGTATTTGATAAAAATTTTAATAATAAACTGAAATTGTCAATGGCAACAAAAGAGTATTGTTATAGTAAGGTAGACCAAGGTAGGATAGTTTATCGTAGAGAAAGGTAAGGCAAGAGATAGGGTAGAGTATGGTAGAGTAAGGTAGGTTAAGGCAAGACAAGGTAAGGTAGAGTAGGATGAGATACGGTAAGGATAGACTTTACAGCATCAAATCAGAGAAATAGAGGGTACTCTTGTATAACAAATTGCTCAGGGTTCTTTATTTAATTTGTTTATTAGAGCAGAGTTTCTTTATCTTAGAGCCTTAAACGCGTTGCGTAACAGTAACCGTGGGTTTAAGAGACGCTTGTTATACAAGGTTTCCGTTATACAGGAGTTTCACTATTAATACAATTTGAAACGAATTCTAGCTCAAATTATCATTGCAGTAACAGGTTCACAATTACATTCAGTAGAACACCCGTGTAACCAATAGTTACGGAATTTTCAGTTTGTTTGTTATACAAGAATTTGTTATAGAAGAGTTTGTTAAAGATGAGTGTGCTATACAAGATTGTTGCTATAGAAGAGTTAGTTATAGTGGAGTTTGTTATAGAAGAGACCTTTATACAAGAGTTTGTTATACAAGCTATTGTATAGTAGAACTCTTGTATAACGATCTCCTCTATAACGAAACTCCTTTATAACGAACATATTTCCAGTCCTCGAGCAGTTTGTTATACAGGAGTTCTACTGTATTATATTATAGTTAAGTTTGTTATGGAGAAGTTGGTTATAAAAAGAAGTACGTTATACAAGAATTTCACAGTATAAACATTATTAATCTATAGCATTATTATATTATTAAAACATTATTATTAATTATTACACTTACCATGCCTTCAACTTGGTCCACGTTGAATTCCGAAGCTTGAATTGGGGCGACGGTTGGGGTCATCATGATGTTTTATTAATTATTTAATAAACAAGTAGTAAAAATTAAAAATATTAAAGAGTCACTGAACTCTAGACAAGTAAATGTAAGGAATGAATTCCCAAAAACCCAAAATATACACTTGTCAATTAATTGTGCGGAATACTAGATTTTAAGCACTGACGTAAACTTTTTATCTACCGATATGTGTGTGTCTTTTATTACGTTTAGGCGATGTATTATGGTTTTGCGATTTAAAAAATCGGCAGAAAAAATACATTTCTTAAAGGGGATTGATACTAACAAGATAAACCTTAGGCTTAGAAAGCCAATTTTAGGTCATAAAATGTAAGTTTAGTCTTCGAAGTTACATTTTAGGCTTAAAAGTAGAATTTTAGGGTTAAAGACAGCATTTTAGGCTTAGAAATTCAACTATAGGTAACAAATTTAAGTTAAGATTTTAAGACTTTATTTTTGGCTCTAAAGTAGCGTTTTAGACTTAAAGACAGCATTTTAAGCTTAAAGACAGCATTTTAGGCTTAACGACAGCGTTTTAGACTCACAAATGAAGTTTAATTTTAAGACTAAAGTTTAAGCGCAGGGCAAGGTACGGTAGGGTAAAATAAGTTAGGGTAAAGTAGGGTATGGTAGTATAGGGTTGAGTAGAGTAAGGTAAGGTAGGAAAAATAAATTTAATATTCAAAATGGGAAATTAACAACGCTTTATTAATTTTTTAAAAGTTTATTGGCATTTTTATTCAAGCTCGAAAGAATCAAAATCTAAAAATTACGTTTTAAATTTCCTGTTAAATTGCCATTTTAAAAAAGTCTAATTACAAAAATTTGACGGCATATTACTTAAAAAATCTGATTTATGCAAATTTCAGTTGTTTTTTTCTACAAAATCGCAAAAAATCTTGGCACGGCGCCGCACATTCGCCCGTAACAGTCGCACCACATGGCATCCGATTATTTTTTTATTCAAATCTAATGTCATCAGGTTTTTTTACTCAACAATATAAAAAATATTGATCTTTGGAACGTTGGGCTCACTCATATTTTATAGAAGTACTGTAAAAAAGCATTATTGCATTATGTAGATTACTGCAGGTATGAAAGTATACTACTAAAGAGTCGGATATGGAGTAGAGAAGTATTATAAGAGTAAAAGAATTTGTTGTAAATTTGAAAAAGACACAGTAATGTAAAGTAAAAAAATATAGTACGTTAGAGTAGAAGAATGCATAATAGTCTAAATTAAAAGAAGGTATAGAAATTTCATGGATAGAAAGGTATGCTAGTGTAAAGTAAAGGAAAAGATTGTAACGTAAAGCTAGTAAAGACGGTAATGTAAAATATGTAGATTAAGAGATAGCAATGTAAAGTAGAAAAAAATATAATAAAGTAAGCTGAGTAAGGTAAAAATAAGGATAGAATTATAATACAAATGTTTAGGGCTAGAGTAAAAAAAGTAGGGTAAAGCAGGGTTGGGTAAGGTATGGGTAGGTAGGTTAGAATAGGGTAGGAAAAACGCAAGATTGAACAGCAAACGAGCAAGGCAAGGATAACACTATATTGTAATATAGAGTAAAGTAGAATAGGGTAGAGTAAGATAGGGTAGGGTAGGGTAAGGTAGGGTAGGGTAGGGTAGGGTAGGGTAGGGTAGTGTAGGGTAGGGTAGGGTAGGGTAAGGTAGGGTAGGGTAGGGTAGGGTAGGGTAGGGTAGGGTAGGGTAGGGTAGGGTAGGGTAGGGTAGGGTAGGGTAGGGTAGGGTAGGGTAGGGTAGGGTAAAGTAGGGTAGGGTAGGGTAGAGTAAAGTAAATACTTTTTCTGTTTCAATATACTTCAATGCCACTACTTTTAGCGATTTACTCGCTAAAATTTGCTCTTTTTTCTATTTTTGTTCAAAATCGAACATCTGTCCTTTTCTTCCATCTTTGGGTGATGGCCTTGCACGATTCGGTACATGGCGGCGCGCGGTTTCTCATGTTATTTTTTGTGTGGTGATTGTTACAAGATTGCACCAGAAATGGGCTGGCACCGCGCCAAGAATGAGGCATTTTTTGAGTGGTTTTTTTGCAGGGGGTGTTTTTTGCAGGGGGTGTTTTTTGCAAGGGGTGTTTTTTGCAAGGAGTGTTTTTTGCAAGGGGTGTTTTTTGCAGAAGACTTTTTTTATTTAGGGGGTGCTTTTGAAAGCTTTTTTTATGAGGTGTGTTGTTTTTCCAAGTTTTTTTATAAGGGGTGGTTTCACCGATTAGCGTTTTTGTTTATTATGACTAGCTGAGGTATTTGGATGATTCAGATTGTTGTTGTCATAGTGCATTATAAAGGAATTTGGAGGGAAATCGGGAATTGAGGAGGTGAAAAAAGAAGGTTGAATAAGCTGAAAAATAAACGAAATTTGAGTGGGTGAATCATTGCATATGACCCACTCAATTTTGGTTGAATCAACTGGAATTTGCGAATTGAGGAAGTGTAGTACTGACAATGATTGTTGGCATAGATGCAAAAAAGCTTTTTAAAGAAACTAAACCTAAATTTAGTATAACTTTTAAGCGACTGATACTAACCTGTACTTATAAATGCCTAAAATTTTATTTTTAAACTTAAAATTTTTTTTTAAGGTTGTAAGTTCTTCTGTCTCCAGATTCGTTTTTAAGCCTAACAGTTTTTTAAGTACCTTTTTAGACCTAAAAGTTTATTTTATTGCTTAGAAGTTTGTTTTTAAGCTTGAAAGGTGTTCTTTAAGCCTAAAGTTCATTTTTAAGCTCAAAACTTTATTTTTAAGCTTAGATCTTCTTTTTAAACTTAACATTACAGTTTGAAGCCTTATAGTTATATTTAAGCCTAAAAGTTCAAGTTGAGCATAGAAGTTAATTTTAAGTCTAATTTTTTTAAAGCCTGAACGATTATTTTTAAGCATAAAACTTGGTTTATTATTCTAAAGCGTGATTTTTAGGCGTTTTAACCTTTAAACTTTATATAAGCCTAAACTTTCATTTATAAACCTAAAAAGCAACGTCCACATTTCATTGTTAATCTCTTATCTTAAAGCCCATATCAATACTCAATGCCGTTGTTTCTTGAAACCTCAAACACCATATAATAACATGGAATTGAAGTAATGGAACATTTGCGGTATTATGTTGATTTGTTTACGAAAAGGTAATTGTTCTTCTTATGAATCATTTGAAGGACAATTGCTTTTTTTCAAAATTTCATTTTTGTTTTTTATATTGTTTACAACAATACTTTAGACTACGTAGGTATTTATTGTCATACGTAGTTGATAATGTGAAAATATTTGATTTCTGAGCCAACAATTCATTGAAAGTGACATTTTTTTGAACTTAGCTTAGGTAGGGCAAGTTAGGTTAATGTAGGATAGCGAAAGGTAGGGTGGGATAGCGTGGAGTAGGGTAGAGTAGAGTAGGGTAGGGTGGGGGTAGGGTAAGATAGGTTTCCTATTCTATCCATTTGATAGGATAGAATAGGAAAAGGTAAGGTCATGTAGGGTATGGTAAGGTAGGGTGGGATAGTGTAGGGAAGAGTATCGCAAAATTCATTGACATAAACTTACAGTAATAAGTAATGTTGTTGCACGTAAGGCTGCAAGCCTAAAATACTTGAAACCGGTGAGAAAACCGGCTTCGTAGGCGCTTCCAGAACCTTCAGCCTACAGTTTTCTATGCAAAAGTAAACAACCTTGTTTGAGAAGATGCGTCAATATTATAGTAAGAAACCGGAAGTTCAGAAAATATCACAGTTTTTGATTTGAGTTTTGTTATAGAGAAGTTTTGAATGCACTGTGTATTGTCGGCCAGGAATTTCAAATTTGTTGGTTATACAGGGTTATTGTTATAAAAGAGTTTGTTATACAGAAGTTACATATAAAAGTAATTGCTTTCAGAAGATTAAAATTTTTTGTCTCAAACTTGTAAACATGCATGATAAATTGTAAATAACTTAATCTCCCTAATGAATAATTGGAAGGATTAGCGTTAATTATTAATTTGAGGGTGGATATTCTATGAATATAAACTGGCTAAATAAAATTAATAAGTTTTTTCTTTGTTTTTGAAGGGGTTTTGAAAATTAAAGAAAGCAAAATTTGTTGAGTCTGAAATATTGTTTTTAAGCCTAAAATTCGTTGTCGATCTGTTTTTATCCTTAAAATTCATTGGTAAGCCAAGTGTTTATCTTTAAGCCTAAAATTAACTTTTTAAGTTTAAGTATTAATTTTGAAGCACAAAATTTCATTTATAAGCTTAAACTTCATTTTTAACCTAAAATTTAACTTTAAGCAACTAATTTCATTTTTATGCCTAAAATTCATTCTAAACCTAAATTATAAAATTAAAGTTTATTGTTAAGCCTAAGATGCACTTTTAAGCCTAAAGATTTGATTTTTTTAAAGGTTTTTACTTTTGCGACTAGTAAATGTTCATTTATTGACATTAGAACATTGGCAAAATCACAGTTTATTAATATAAACATAAGTAGCAGTCATATACACATAGGTAGCACGGAGATTTAAACGAAGGCAGTAACAAGTTAGCTTAAAAACATTGGCAAACTCCAACCAGGTTGATATTCTTTAAACACTTTGGCTCATTTGGTGCCATACAAGGTATGTTAGCGCATTCAGCATCAGTAGTACAGGCATGGGTCAGAGTCAAAGCAATAATAACTAGGATAGTAATCAACAAAGCGTACAACTTCATGTTTGTGGCTATGGTATGTAAAAAACAACCTAAGTGTTATACAATACTTGTATTAGTTTTCGAAGGCTTATATATTTTGTTTTTAACCTATTGGTGTGGTAAAAACGTGGTTGATTATTCAAAACCTTGATCAGCAAACAAGATTAAGAGCATTGTTTGTCTGATTTTTGAATTTTTTTTATGATTTTGGGGTTTAGTGAATTATTTTTATTTTTTTGAAATGGGATAAAAACTGATCATTGATAAGTAAAAACCTACAAAAAACTTTTATGAAAATTGGAAATCTATGAACTTTTAGACCAA